AACCACCAAAAAAAAGGGAAAAAATAAGAAAAAGAAAAAGCAGAAGAACATTAATTACCTGCAAGGATGTTGAGCATCGTAAACAGTATGACCATTAGCATGACCATTGGCCTGAATTGAGTCATTTTTCGATGCATCTGTTTGGTCATGAAACACAACTCGATATTCCAAGACAGCTGCAGTGTATGGAGTGGCAACAGTTGCATCATCCTCATCGCGAAGCAGCTTATCCAACTCAGGCCAGACTAAATCCCGCCTACATCGCCAAAAGTAAATGTAAATAATTTATTATTATCTCCAAATGACAAAATGTGATGGCATTGGATCAATCTCAATATTGAGTCACGATTCTTGTACCAAGCAGCAAAGTCGTCTTCCATACATTGATCATCGTCTCCAAGACCCACAGGGACAAGCCGCTTCCCACCTAATTCAAACATAAAGCAGGTAAGAAGCCGAAACAAAAAGAGGACAAGATTACAAGCCCATCATGGGAAAAATAATAACACAATGGATCCAATAAGCAGTGTGCTTATTCTTCCTAATACCATATACTTTAGTGAGATCGACAATCCCGATCAACGGGTAGACTTATTAGTCTAAGAGAAGTCAAATCATACATGACATACATCTTTAGTTCGTAGACAACCAACACTCTGGGCTAATACAAAGGATTGAGTTCTCAAGAAGTATCTTTTTGTGGAAAGCAAGCATACTTGTTAGCAGGGCCTGTGGCGAACTTTAAAATTAGATTCTAAATCATAGTATGCATTCAAAATAATTTCAATCGCAAGAGTTTTAGAAACTAAATCTATTGACTTAAAACTCAACATTAAAACAACAAAGGAAGCATAATCTCCAAAATATTTATATTATAATATAATAATAAGGCCGGAAAATGTTCCAAATAATCACTTAAATACTACTAGCCTTGCAATTTATATTATTACCAAACACTAGTGTCTTTTTATCATTTCGACAACATTTGATCATTGCCACAAGTTAGGAATATAGCAGCTCTCATGCTCAGAAGCTGTGCCACGTGTTTTAACTTGTGCCTCACAAGCAGCAGTAAGCAGTTGATAGAGAGAGAACGCTATTCAAAAACTTTGTTAAATAAAATACAAAAGTAATCGATTTTGAGTTAATCGGTACATAAAAAGGTTGGCAAAATTGTATTTTTAAAAAAGTCAAGTTTTGATGAAAACAAACCGAGAAAAAAAAATGGAAATCAAAGTTATCTATGCATATAAATACAAAATAAAGTAAATAAAATGTAAAAAATTCATTCCTGATATATAAATAAAGAAAAAATAATACAATTATAATAAAATTAATAAACTCACCATCCTTCTTTGAAAATTTTACAATTTTCTTCACAAATGACCGTGCACTTAACTCTATTTTGATGAGTTTTGTGGGTGAAAAGGGATTGAGTAATTTATTTTCTCTAGATATTGGAATTAAAAATAAAGGAACACTTAGGTCTAAAATGATTAAGTTAAATGTTAGCATAGTGACAACTTGTCAACTTTATCGTTCTAAAAAAAGGAAATATGCAAATGGAAGTAAAGATTACATATTTAAAAAGTCATTTTCAAGATTAAGAACGAACTTGCTAGAGACTAGAAAAGTTGGGGACTAATTGCACAAATTTCACAAAAGAAAAAACAAGAAGGAAAAATCTAGAATTTTGAGCATGAGGCGAGGGCATTCGCCCAGATCGTACGCTGGATAGCATGTACGATTTTGAATTTTTTTTTTCAGAAAATGAAGAAAGTAAATAGACAAAATACAGCTTATAGACAACCGGTATAGTTACAGGCATTACAATTTTACAATTTACATAATTCTTAAAGAATTAAATGATCACATAAAAAAATACGAGCATAACTGAGAGAGAGCAGAAATAAACATCTCCGTGCCCAAAGTAACACGAAAAATTTTTATTCAAAGAAAAATAAAAAATACCTTGCTCAGCAACAAGGTCATCCACCACTCTCGCAATCTGTTTCCCAATAGAGTATACAAACAAGAACCCTTTAGCAAACAATCATGGCATTATATTTAAATATCTTCGACTAATGTACCAAAGTATATAAAAGATAGAAGTTAGATCAATGTTAACCTTGTTGAAATGCTCATATTGCCGATTTCCGAGGCCAAATACTCCATATTGAAGATTCTTAAGACAATCCCCTCTATCTTTTCCCTCTGTAAACCATTTGTAGAACCTTGTTGCATTATCGGTAGGCTCACCATCACCATACCTGCAACCAGTAAACAACCACCAAAACTTAAATTGCATACTATCTTGTTTACTCTCTAATGTGGAAGATGCAGATATTCATGAAGCTTAAAATTATATGCACACAAATTGTTGGACCGGGAGGCGATGAAAGAATTAAGATTAATGATCAATATGAAATATGAATTATCACAACGAAACAAATAAGATTAAAGTAAAGAAATTGAAGATAGATTAGCGGAGGAATCGATATTTTATTAAAGATAATATACGGAGAGAATATAAGAATTCAACAATAAAGCTTCCCTTAAATTGAATGAAAATCCATATATTTATAGGGACATACCAAACTTTAAAAATATCATAAAAATGGAAATAATAAAAAATATAATATGGAATAAAGGAAATAATTTTTTTCCAATAAAATCACAAGAAACTAAAGAAACAATATTTTTCAATAAAATCACGTAAAAATAATGAAAGAATATTTTTCAAAAAATCCACCCTAATTTGGGCACAAAATCTAACACAAATAACTAATTACCATACAATTGGCACCTACATATACACAAATTTGTGTTTTTATTTAATCTAGAGACAGCTAGAAGTTAGAGTTGAGAATTTACGTGGCAAGAAAGAAGAATGTCAAAGTTTCCTTTCCTAACTTCACCTCGTACTCTTCATCATCGGCAGCATAATCATCCTATAACGATAAAAAATTGAACTATCAATGGAAAATAAAGATTACAAATTTACTCAATAAACAAGAAAAGCATAAGCAGAATATCCCCTCTAAAATGGAAAATGAACATGAAAACGCACAATGTCAATCACATTAAACTTGGCCTTTTCATATCTAGCTTTAGCTTCCTCAGCAAATGCCTGATACAACAGCAAAAAACAACATTTAGTTCGCTGAAAATAGAGTCTGAAAGAGGTGCCTGCAGCCATTACATTGTGCAAGTGGAAATGAAGTATTTTTCCTGAAAACCTAATAACCTCGGACTTATTTTCAATTATTAATTAACTTGGCCGTTCTTGTCAACTTCTACACATTGCCTTCAAGAAAATATAATTAAAAGTTAGATAGTAAACTACTATGAAAATAAGAAACTTAAGGCCATCTCCAATGTATGATCGAAAACATCAAAATGTGCCATTTTTTGGTGCAAAACAACTCCAATGCAACACTATACTTTGTATACAAAGTCGTTTTTACCCTTTATTTTTATTTTCCAAATAAATTGATTAAGGATATTTGTGTCATTTGTACTACAGATTTTTATTACAATAAATTAATAACAATAATAATAATATAATTATTATTATTATTTGCATTTAAAATAAATTTAAAATTTTAAAAATAATAATTAATGAAATAATTAAAGAAAAAAATTTAAAGTATATCAAACACGATTATTTGCACTTCGAAATGCATTAATTGATCATTTGTGGGAAGAACATATGAATTTCGAAAATTAAATTGCAATAATATTTCGACTTCGTAATATCCTAATTCAAAATACATTGCACTATTTTTTAATGGCATGATTTAGTATTTTCATTGTTGTAGTGTTTTTATTAATTATACTATGTTTTCTATATTTATTAATGAATTTAATTTTTTTTGTAATTTAACATAATTATTTACTTAGTAATTTATGTATTTATAAAATAATTAAATAAATAATATTTCAAAGAAATAAATTATTATAAATAAAAAAGAGAAGTTGGTTATAATTTTTAGCGAAATGGTTGAAGATGAATTTTAATTTGGTACAAAATTTACTGCAGAGCTGTAGATTGGCCTTGCATAAGTGTGGCGATGAAGAGTTCTACTTGTATTTTAGGCACTAATTTCAGAACTCCGATGATTCATTTATCTTGGGGAAATTCCAAAGCCATTTTTCTTTCTTCACTTTTGTTTGAAGATTCATCGTACAGATAAAATTAACTTTTTACCTTAGCAAAGCCTTCAGCGGTACCAGTCTGGGTCCCATAACAGATGGTGACTTTCTTCTTTCCATCGTCCACTTCCTCCGGATCCACCACGACCTTGCGCACAACCGGTTTCGGCGGCGGCACCACCGTCTTCTTGGCCGATACCGCAGCACGGCGCCACATGATAATCACAACGCACCCAATCAGCACAGCCACGGAGGTCGTCAGCACCATCATCAAGTCCCTGTTCTCCATCAATATCGCTACAACAGAAGCCGGCACCGCCTCCGAGGACCCATTAGAATTATCCAATTTCACACCCTTTAGAATAGACGCCATCAAATCGAACGGCGAGAGCCTCTCTGAGGTGGAATGCATGAGTTCTCAACTAAGTCTGAGCTAGAATTTTGAATGAGCGAAGAATTACACTTACACAGGCTTTGTACGCGTGAGAAAATGCAGAGACTGTGATGAAAATGAGGAAACTTCGAGAGTTGAACTTATATTAGAGTCTCTCTCCTCCGTTATCGATTGTATTTGTATGCTTGAGGTTGAGAGAGAGAGAGAGAGAGAGAGTCTAACAAGTGGCTTGTAAGAAATGAAAGAGATGCTTGCAGTTTATATGAATCAGAAGCAAGAGAAGAGGGAGTGGGGTGAAGTGGAGTAGGGTGGTTAATACCCAACCCTGGTTAGTTGAAGAATCTCACGTAGGAAAGTTTTGAGCAGTTATGTCAATATTTTGAAATTATTTGAGTTAAATAATTTATCAATCACTAAATTAATATCATCTTCAACTTTTATTCAGTAAACTTTAAAATATCTTTAAACGGTCGCTAACTTTAAAATATTGTACTCTATCATTCACTCATCATGTTTCATTAGTCACTGAACTTTAAAATATTTCTGAATGATCACTAAACTTTAACATATTGTACTATATCGATCATGCATCATGTTTCACTAGTCATTGAATTGATATCTCCGTCATGTTTTACTCATTAAACTTTAAAGTATTTTTAATTAGTAAATAATTTTATAATATTTCCAAGTAAAGTTGATTTCTACGATATTCGACCTAGATCAAAAAATAAATAAGTATCAAACAAATAAATGAAATTTCAATCTAAGACGAGAATATTGATATTGGATAGAGAGAATTTCTCTAATTATCAAAAATTATGTTTGAAGAGGAAAAAGAATGATAATTTCAAATTGATATAAATCTTAATTTAGATTATGATATTCATTTACGTCGAGAAAATAAAATAGAGAAATTATTTTTTTATTTCGATTGAATTGTAAACTCAAATAAAAATAAGTTGTATCTCGGTGACAGGGAAAATTTTTATTTAGAGTCAATAATATTAAATATGATTAAAAGTTTTCACAAGATAATTTAAAAGGAAAGAAAGGGGCCATCTTTGTGTATGATATTTTATACTCAAAAATTTTTAAATTTTGAACAATTGGATTCATTGAGTAAAGTTTGGACACTACTCGAAAACACTTTAAAATTTAGTAAGTGAAGCGTGACGTATATATAAGTTTAATGGCTAATGGAAAATGGTAAGTGCGTATTTGTGTGCAACATGTTAAATTTCAATGGTCACTTGAATCCATTTTAAAAGTTTAGTAATTAATGAAATATGATGAATGAGTGATGGAGTTCAATTTGTTAAAGTTCAATGTCCACTCGAAAGCATTTTAAAGATTCGTGAGTAAATGAAGGCGTAAGTTTAACGACTAATGAAACATTTAACACAAAATCATTTACTACGAAAAATTCTAAGTGTTATATTAATGATCAATCGTCAAAGAAAATTAACATAAAATGACACAACTAAATGTCAACGTGTTACCAAACGATGTGATTAAATCAGCAAAAGTTGTTGTTAAAAAGAAAGTTGAGGTTTACTCTAAAATTTAAGTCCAAGATCAATTTCTTACTCTTCAATTCTGCTGACTTGGTCTAATAGGTAATATTGTTTAGCGATACATCAATATTTAATATTAATTTTTTGATCGATTAATTATTATTATATTAATTAGAAAGTTGAGTGATTATTATTATAAGAAAATTACTTCAACAATTGTTAGCATTACTACTTAAAATTTCAATCACCTTTGATGTAATTAACCCCACATATTCGTATTTCACTAAGGAAAATTTCTCAATTTCCATTGTTTTTTGGGGTAAAATTTCATGTTAGCTACAAACCTTTATTTTATTTTAAAATAGTCACTGCATTAGTTATATATATTTAACATATTGTTTTTATGTAGCATACGGCAATCTGAAGTGGCATCGATGTAGACAATAAGCTAGAAAGTTAACAAAATTTACAATTAATCTAGTTGTACAAAACAAGTTGACAAAAATAAGTGTTGGCAGAATCTTGACCTTTGATTTCAAATGATTTAAAAATGTGTTTTTAAAATGATTGGTGGAGATGTTATTTTGTAAATCAACTTTGTCAACAAATTTTGTACAAGTATCATGACTCCGAAATTTAATTGAATGATTAAACTAAAAATTTAAAAATAAAGTTACGATCACTTCAATATAATGTCCATATTTGGTGTAATTTAAAATGTTGATTAAAATTTAAGTTATAATCAACAATTAATTTTAATCACATATATTACAGAAATCATAATTTTTATCCATTTTAAAACTACACATTTTATTTTTATTTTTTTATCAGAATTTATTAAAAATCTGATTATGTAACCGAAAGGAAAAGCTTTTGAGTGGTTGGCTTTTTTACATGTTGCATTTTAAGCATTCAATGGTTTGGCAATTAATGCAAATAAAAAGATTTCTTTTTCTCCTTTTTTTTTTTTTTTTTAAAGCAGCTAAACATTGAAATTTTAGATCGTTTTATGTTAAAAATAATTATGAAAAATAATGCTTGGATAATAATTTGAATTTGAACGAGGCTTTCGTAATATTTTTTTTATTTGAATCTTGTGAAAATTATAACCCCTTTAAAATTTTAATACAGTCAAGCATTTTTATTTTTTTTTTATAAATGATAAATTGATAATCGTCAACTTTTCCCCGAGAATACGTTAGGCCAACTTATTGTTACTTTTAAATAAATTAATTTTACACGGGCATACACACAACCCCATAATAGGGTAAAAACCTTGGTTCGTTTTTGATATTATATGCTTGAAAAATGATCTCTAAACTTTAAAAATTAATAAATAGTCAATGAGTTTTATAATGTTTATCCATTACTTTTAAAAATTGTCAACTAGAATGTACATAATAATACAAAAACAACATTTAAAAAAAAAAAAAAAAAAAACCATTGAGCCGGTTAATTCACGATCATGATTACACGGAGTTGTTCACTTTTAAAGAGAGTGGATGAAATGTATCCACAATATCAACCTTTTCAAAATTAGTCAATTCTTCTAAACATATTATTTTCTTTTCAAAATTCTTAACAAGTTTTCTTTAATTTTTCCGCACGATGATAAGGATTTCTGATCAATTTAGATATACTAGTCTTTTTTTGTCAATGATGACAATAAATTTTATATTATCGATTGTGTAGAACTGTTAAGTAATTTACAAACAGATAAATAAATAATTAAGTGATGAATAAATGAACAACACTTGTTGATTCATTAAAATATGCGGTTGAAAATGAAATTTAATAATTTATCAATTTTTTTCAAATTGATGCTTAATAAAAGGATAAAACGATAATCTAAGTGACCAAACAATTGTGTTCAATTAAAAAAATTATTGATTGACAAATTTCATTTTTACCAAAGAAGTAGACTCCTGAAAAAAAAATTATAATAATAGAAAATTAGAGAGCATTCTCTAAGCTGAGGGACCAACCTAGTTTCTAACTCAAATACATGTCGTATGTTTCTTCTTAACCGTGATTAAAAATAGTACTGGTTCGTCGTTTAATTTGGATACCTTTGAGTCAATGTCTAAAATGCCCTTTAGTGGCTTCTACTAGACTACTACTGGACAAAAAAAAAATCGCTCGAGGGTCTCGTTTGATTATTTAATACTTTTACTAATAAGGCACCAATGGATTTTATACACGTGTGCTCTAGCTTTCTAGACCCATTTGTGGACGATCGAGGGTTTTCCTTTTTTGGAGTAATTCTTTTCGGATTTTGACTTCGGGAATTACTGTGAGGGGAGCGCGTGAATGCATGGACCCCTGCCTAATTAGAATTAATAATCATTTACCCCCTCCCCCCTCCGGCCCCCACATTCACATGGATGAGAGTTTCCTCGCATTATATCAAAAGTGTACATATAAACATAGTCCGTCTAATTAATATTTAAGACCTGTTTGGAGCCAATTTTTGGGACAAGAAAATTGATTTTCTAACTATTGGCAGCCGGAACTTTTGACTGCTCCTCTCATGGGTGGGGCTGTTGAGAATTTACTTAAACATGCATATCGAAAATAAAACAATTTTTCATTTCTACTAGAATTTATCTTTGTGTTTAGATAGAAATTGTGATAAAAGTCATACATTTTTTTCGAATCTGCAAACTCCTTTGTTTTTCCCTTATTCCTGTAGCCTTGATCTGCCACCCACAACTATCCAATTATCCAACCTTCAACGGTGATCTACATAGAGAACAAGATTATAGGATTATGATTTTCTTTTTGTGTTAGTAAGAATAATGAATCTCTACAAAATTATAAACTCTAATCACTTATTTTTATAAACCCAAGAGATTGATCACTCACACTTAGATAATTATCCATGTGGAATCTCTAGGCGGGTCTCCAATGTTTTGTTCTATAACAAAATATTCACATGTTCATTCAAGTATCACCACACTTTAATTTGTGAGATCAACTACTTACTTCACAAGTAAGAAATACCATGCGTGATGATCTATCTGTAATAACGATGTCCGTATCTCGTTATTACTTACGACAACGAAAGATTTAAGATTCGATTATATGTAATTTGTATCTCACGATCACAACTCCTTGTGATTAACAAACTACGAAAATTTGAATCTACGGACTCTATTACTTAATTTAATTGTATGTTAGTTAAATAATAGATCTGCCATTAAATCGCATTAATTGTATATTAAAAGTATTTATGTTCAAAATTAATTGTACCTAGGGCATAATACTTACAAACTCCCACTTCTACTAAATTCAATCACTTATGTATCCAATATCATAAGAATCTATATGTTGATTATGTTTAAGTTACGACGACTCTTTGTCAGTGGATCTGCAATATTATCAAATGTGGGAATTCGTTCTTCTCTTTACGTCATTTCTATGTATTATCTCTCCGATGAGATTATACCATCTTAATACGTGTTTGGATCATTTATGAGACCTTAGTTCCTTCGCTTTCGCTATGACTCTATTGTTATCATAATACAATGACATGTGATCAACAATATTAATAACTACTACAAGTCCATTAATGAAAATCTTGATCCACATTGCAACTCTTTGCTGCTTCTGAAACAATCATGTATTAGGTTTCTGCTATTGAATCAACGATTGTTTCATGTTTGGAACATTTTCAACACACTGTTTAAAAGTAAACCAATTTATCCATATAAA